GACATAAGGGTGTCCAGGGACTCCAGGGGATTAATCGTCAAATTAATCGTTATCAGCTAAATACTGTACCACAATTAATCGTGAGTAATTTTTTTGCCAATATTGCCCAACCCTAGACTGCAGCTAGTTTGAGTACTCAGTCAAACATGCAGAAATATTGATGAAGCAAATTTTGTTGGTAAGCAGGGTTGTAAAGTAACTAAGTACATATACTTTGTTACTGTACTTACGTAAATAGAATTCTTGGGTATCTGTACTTTACTTGAGTAATTATTTCTCAGCCTACTTTTTACTTCCACTTCCTACATTTTCACACAATTATCTGTACTTTCTACTCCTTACATTTTTAAAAAAAAAGGCAAGACATAGAAAGTTGTTACTTTTATTTCATTTTTGCTTGTTTTCATTCCAGCTTGTCGTAAAAAATAAATACTATTCATTTAAATTGTGCCTCCTAGATAGAGTGAATTTAACTGTGGTTGAATGAGAAGTATAAATATATAAAATTCTGATACCGTATTAGTTTGTACACAAACAAATCATGTCACACTCCAGCAGGACATAATCATTAAAATAAAAGGACTGTACTGAGGAAGTATTTGTATTTCATGAATTATATTATTAAATTTGGCCGCAGCCCTCAGATAGATTTTTATTTTGGAGAAAATATTTGAGCAGCCTTGATATATGTATATAAACTGAAACAGCTGGACTAGTGCATCCTAAATTTAACATCAACTAATTATTTTAAAAAGTCAGTCATTTCTGCATTTTTAAGGGAGGTCACCTCCTAATAAATGTCATTACATAAAATCTAACTGCTCATTTTAAATCAATACTTTTACTTTTAATACTTAAGTACAAAAAATATCAGATACAGACTTTTACTCAAGTAATATTCCTAAAGGAGACTTTAACTTTTACCAAAGTAATTTTTTGGTAAGATACTTGTACTTTTACTCAAGTATCACTTTGTGGTACTTTATACAACACTGAGTAATATTCCTAAAGGAGACTTTAACTTTTACCAAAGTAATTTTTTGGTAAGATACTTGTACTTTTACTCAAGTATCACTTTGTGGTACTTTATACAACACTGGTGGTAAGATTGAGCAAATAATTCCTGGTTATCATTGTGAATGTCTCAAAAGCAGCTCCAGGAAGTCTCGGGTGTAGGTTGTTGGTCCTAAAAGAGTTTGTTTTTTTTCAGCCTGCTCATAGAGTGGCCACTCAATGATAGTATTATAAAAAAGAAAAAATAAAGCTGCGTTGATCAAACCAGGTTGAGATTGTATTTGTCTTCATTTGGGACCTAAACGAAGCCAAAGCCAGGAATTAGTAATTCCAAACCTCTGTGCCTCAGTGCACACGTGTTGCCACTCCCACAGGTGATGCACGTTCATTCCAAGAAGCAGCAGCAGTGACAGGGAAGCGTTATTCGCATAACTCAGGTGGCAGTACTCGTTTGGACCTAGTTATTTTTAATGCTTTGCTGTGCTAATGCATCGAGACAAAGAAAAAAATAAAACACAGAGTATGCTTGGCATGTTGAAGAAGACTGCGAGGCTTGGTTTTTAAACACATGCACAGACAAATCCAGGTGTTTGCACACAAACCAAAGACATACGTTGCTTTAGAGGAAGGAGTTTGTCCAGCAATGGGAAAAAAAAAAAGAATCTGACTTTTATACGTCAGCAGTGATTTAGCAACACTTCCTATATAGAGGGGTTCTATTAGATTTCTCTTTACTGGAGTTTCTCCAGAATAAAGCCAGTGCAAATGCTTCTTTTTGTTGTTTTCTCCCCTTTGAAAGTGTTCATGTACRTGTTTGTATGTGTTGCCTTAGCATCTTAAACCCTCAAAGCAGGAGCAAATATTGTAAAATAAATCGTATGCAAATTACCTTTAGAYCAATTTGGACTCATAATGCAACATTTATTAATTTGTTTTTACTTTTAAAGAGAATGAACAAAAGCTTTTCATTCAGTGGCTCTTTGTGTTTTGTTTTGTTTTTGTTTTGTTTTTTACGAGCGTTCACGCAGACAGTGGAGGTTTTTCAAGACAAGCACACGTTGGGGATAAATCACAGCACTTTCTGTTTCCTAGCAACAAATCCACCAGCCTGATAAGCCATCGTTTTTCTCCATACGTGACTTGGTGATCAAAATTTCTTTGTTTTGTGTCTTTAGGTGCGGATCGTATTTGAGGCTTTTGTGTTCGGCAAGGATTGTCGTCCACTTACTCTCACAAACGGTTCAGAAGAGTCCTGAAGTCTGTGAAATGTTTTTTTAAAGGGCAGATTAGTTTTTTCTTTTTTTTTTTTTGGCATTTTCTTATCAGCGTGGAACCAGTTCTAGTGACACGCTGATGTACATCAACAATACAGATGAAAGTTGTTGTTTTTTTTTATTTACTGGAGCATTTCAAATTAAGCGATACTTTTTATTTTTTGAATGTTTACTTTTTAGATAAACTTGCTTGTCCTATTAGGTTATCATGGCCCCTGTTCAGACTCTGGTTTTATATGATAAGAAATCCCTGAAGAATAGTTATTAAAACCAGCTGCCAAAGGTCTAAAGCGAGCATTCATKTTTTTGTGCGTGTKTGYCTGTTAGCGAAATATATCACAAACCAGTGATAGATTTTAATGAATCTCTCAGGAAGTATTCACTAGATGTACAACTGCACCTGATTATCTTTTGAAGTCAGCCCGATTKAAGATGGCCGACAYAGCTAACTGACTTCAGCAAACGTATTAACGGCTATAACTCAGTAAATGTTAAAGATATTGAGCTAAAATGAGGYGTTAGTATTTTAGTGTCTTCCCCAGCAAATATTTAGAAAGCTGACTGATCACGCAGGAACTTTGTTCAAAACTTTGCCGCTAACTAGTCAACGCTTTCTGTCTGTTAGCAAAATATCTCATGAACCATTTCATGGATTTGAATGAAACTTTCAGATAGCAATTGCTAGGCTTACATCTGCATCTGTTTAACTATTTAGTCAGCACAGTTTATGATGAATGCCACAACCAGCTTATCATAGAAAACACCAAAATGACTAAATTACAGTCAAATTTATGGATATTGMGCCAAAATTTTGTGTGAGTAGTTGAGTTATTATAAATTATGTGTTAACACAAGATCTTACGAAGCCGCCTGCTATTGCACCCAAATGGCTTTAACTTTGTATTTTATTGAGCAGTAAGCAAAGCGTTAGACTCAGTGGTGGGCAGCACTAATCCAAAACGTAGCTTCACAATTTTGAAAGCGCTTATGTAAATATTTAGGTCCGTAACCGCAAAAGCGCTTACGCCATAGAAAAACTAGCAGAAGCRAATTTTAAAGWCCAARTTCAATTTGACACTCACTAGCTGGCWGTAATTCATGTACAATATRTGCACACTGCCAACTAGCGGTGTATGAACCTTTTTACARCTTATTCCTACAACTGCTGATTGCTGGGGATGTGATTTCATGAAACMGACTTTTAGCTCCCGGTGTAAAAAATTAAAAAGTTGTTGAGGATTGCTAGTTCGGCTRCTTCTTTGTCTTTTTCTTTTGTTTGTTGTAGATWTTTCATTAAAGAAGMATCAATAAAGTAATTTTAAAACTGTTCATTGGAAAACTGAAGCRATGCATTCTGGGTACATGACGGATTTGATTTGTGACAGGAAACTTAYCTTTCCTTCAAAATAAGAGCTTGGATTTTAAAGTTTTCATGTAGTTGCTCCACTTAACCACTAGATGTCAGTCTTCATCAGCATAACATCTTTAAATCATTTCTGAGTCTCTAACACCGTTGGCCGATTGCTTCGACCAAATACGTCAAGTATTGAGCTCCAGCATTTAAACTTTATTTTTTTAAAGGAGCTCCGATTGTAAAGTAAAATAAATCAATACATACAAAATTTTAGTATGGATTACAAACGTTAACTGTTTTAGCTGGGACAGGGAGTTCTAAGCACTGCCTTCCTGCTACGTAAGCAGACAAAGCATTGTGGGAAATGAGAACCGTGACCCAAAGCAACAGTCAGCAAGGCTGTATACCTTCCCAGTATGTGTGTTTATCTGGGAGGGGTGCTGTTGGATAGATCACGTGTGTTGTGATTCATTGACAGCCATACCTTCCGCTGTTCAAGATGATGACTGGTAGATATTTAGTTATTAGCTGTACTGCATTTTAATTTTAGCAAGCGCAAATCCGCTTATGAATAATAAAAATTAGTAAGACTGCTAAAACACAAATGTAATATATTTAGGTCCGCAATTAGCGGATTTGCACTTTAGCGGGCTGGTGCCCACCACTGGTTATACTGTTTGTAAAACTGTTGTTTGATGTCTCTGACGTTGTGTGTGTCTGTTTTTTTCAGACGCGGTTGGTTTCCTTCATCCTACTGCAGACCTTACACTGAGCCAGCCATCTCAAATAGGTAAGAACACTGCAGCACACCAGAGCATTGACTCCCAGCTGCTGAGACTTCACACGCTTGTCATATGTCTCTGCAGCAACATGAGCACGCCGGTGAGGAGTTTGAGYGTGGCCAGTCTGCAGGAGGAGGAGGAGGAGGAAGTTGGGCTATATGAGCCCGTACTGCTACCACCAGCAGACTACAGCGACTGCTCGCTGTTTAACCCAGCGGTCCCCTCTGTCCCTTCAACACCTTCGTCAAAGAAAACGGTCAGTAACTGCAGAGCTGTCTTTTCAATTTTTCAGGACTTAACAGAGATTTTATGCAGATTTTAAGCTCAGGAAATAGGAAACCAAACAGACGTTTGATCATCTGCCATTTTAAGTTTGTTTTATTGTGTCCCTCTTTGTCCTGTTGTTAATACTGACGTATCAGACGAAACTATTGACCCGTTGCTTTGTTATATTACACTGGACTGATTCCAAGGACTGGAACCAGGAGTGCCTTCCTTTACACTTTAAACACAAGTGTCCCACGTTCGTTTCTGGAGTCTGGCTCATAAAAACTCAGAGTATACGGAATAGTTACGGATATAACTTTAGAGCTTTCTTCTTGGTTGCAACAACACAATGCCCACGTGACCACAAAAACATAACTTGAACATTTTCATGCCCTCGACTATAAAAGGTGCTTCCTGATAACCCGTGTGGCCCGGGCCGAGTCGTCACACGCAGCACGCCCACAAAGCAAAATGCCACGGCACAGGTTGAACTTTCAGTCTGACTAATTAAGCCTTATCAAGAGCGCCTTGAGACATCGTCAGGCCTCCACACCCTTAAAGCTCRGCACTCCTTAATCACTTCATTAGTTCCTTTTAAGAATGTGYGAGACTTTAAGTGTGCAATCTATGGGAGCCACTTTGCTGTCTGGACTAATCTGGGCACAAATGCACTAAGAGGACAAGCAATTTGTGTTCATTTGGACTGAGTGTGGCCCARCTAGAGGATAAGCAGAAAGTTACAGAGGGAGGTATAAAATACTAGAGGGCGGAGACAGAGTTTCACCTTACAGAAGCTCTTTATGAAGGCGGATGAATTATCTGTCCCTCTTCACCTTTCCTGTACTGTACTTTCTGCTCTGTACTCTGCTGCATCAGGGCTTCTCTGAGGAATASACTGCAGTGGATGAAAGTGTGATTATCCCACTGATGAAGAGAGATTTTACACCTTCAAGAAGACAAAGAACTGACTTTGCTCTGTTTATGACTGAAGCAAAGGTCTTTCATACTTAGGAGACTCAAGAAACTCYTTTTAATTTATACTGAAAGATGTGCTTTTTAATCGCCTGAAAACTTCAGTTAGGAACACATTTCATCCTTTTGTCAATAGCTATGTTTACATGCACAAAATTCTTTGATCAGATTGAAATGTAATGTATGGTTTACATGGACACAATCCGATTATGATGATTGTTTACATGCACAAGGCTTTTATTCAGAATAGAAACACTGACATGCGCAGTTAACTTTACCTAAAAAAAAAAACAGGAAAAAGTTCTACTTCCGTGATGAACATAAACAAACATCTTCTGAGCGCTAAGAATGGACCTGCGACAAGTTTTAATAATGATGGAGACATTACTGCACGCTCTGGTTCAGCTGCAGGTGATGCACGGCAGACTTTTCTTTTTGCGAAGCTGCGCAGCCTGTGTGTCTTCCTTCTTTACTGAATGAGAAAACAGGAGGAAAAGTTCTGTCTGCTGGAAACCGCTGGATGAAAGTCAGCAGACATGCACAGTCAGGTCAGTTTTCCACAATCAGAATAAGATGATCGCATTAAGTGTTTACATGCACGTCATTCGGGTTATCAATCGGCATAAACCACACCTCTCGTTCCAATTACAATTTCATTCGGATCGAGCTGAATTGGGTCAGAATAATCCAAAAGGGGTGTTTACATGATGCATTTTATTCCAAATGGCCGTTTAATTTGATTACTTATGTCCATGTAAATGTAGCTAGTGATGCTCCTGATCTCTGCATTGGTATAACAGAACTGTGTTCTATCAGTCAAAAGATAATTATCCAATAAATTATGGTAGCCATGTGGAGCTGCCTAAACGCCTATTTACACAAAGCTCCTCCCTGCCTACAGGGCATCCCTCCCCGACACAGCTCCACCAGACCTGGTGAACTACACATCTGTTGTGATATTAACAACTTCTCAGTCCACTCCTTCTTGGATTAAAAAAAATGCCTTCAWTGAGGAAATGTATTCTTGGATGCCAAGGAGACTACCCTCTTACAATGCTCCTATACAGCCTGAAGCATGGGAGTGTCAGAAATGGTAGGAGGTTCTTAAAGAGACATTTAGGTAGGCTATGATGCAAAGTCAGGTTTATTTTTGATATATACAGTGTTTTCATGTGAGATTGTATCATAGTAGATTAATACCTGTTGTTAGAGGAGGAAAAGGCACTTTTAAATGTTTGTTTACATGATTTAGGTCCTTTCAAGTTTGCAGACATTCCTGTTAAAGTGTGAATTCTTGAAAACAGATGAATATACGCAATACAAAATAATGTCACTAGAAAATCTATGAATCTATCTGAAATRGATGGTACTTGGGATAAAAGTAATTGCACATAAAAGTGTGAGGGTATTCACTGTATTACATTATATGTCAAAAAAAAAAAAGAAAGAAAGAACTGTCAGTTTTTGCTGATTGTTTCTGTCTGCACTCTACGCATTTGAAAAAGCCGAATGTTACAGGTGACCTCTGAGGATCTGGTTTAGTTGGTTTCCAAAATTTGTTTTCGAACTGTTTTCTAGAGTTATTTTTCATTATGATAGCTAATGCCTTACTGCTGGTTTCAGGAAGTTTTATCTTCTGATAAGAATTACTTTGCAAGCATATGTACAGTATAAGCTCAAGTCAAACTGATACCATCTGAGTTCCTGTTTTATTCAACACCTAATTTCCCTCTGGGATCACTAAATTATTTTTGAATTGAATTGAATTAAATTGAAATGAGGGTGTCGGAGCTTTGTGTTTGGCTGCTCTCTAGTGGAGGAATGGGGACTGGAGATATTTTGTTAAATACTGTAGATGCAGTGCTGTGGAAAAGTCTTGAGTCATCTCTCATTTTAATTGTTTTATTTTACCTACAGAGCCTGTCTCTTTTAATCCGAAACCCTGTATCACTTGTTATTCAGTGTCTGATCCGAAACAACAACATGCAAACAAACTACTGACAAATATCGGACGACGAATCATCTTTACATTCTTGTAAGAGAAAAAATAACCCCCCAAGTCACAAAGACRAGATGTTTAATCAATGTTTTCTCCACTTGTATCCTTCCTAATCTTGGCAGTATTTCATGCTTGACGTGGCGGAGACAAACACGTTTCTCTCGCCAGCTTTTCTAGACCGTCTAGATTCCGTTCAGCTGAGGTTTGTCTCCAGTTCAGAGGCAGATACGTCAGCTGCACTGAGGTTTAACGGTTCATTATGAATATTTTCAAACTAGTCCAGCAAGTCTGATGTTACCTACTGAAAGGAAGCTCTCCATGTGTGTGTTTCTCTTTGTTCGGAAGTCTGTTCGCCGCTCTAAGTGCTTCCTCTTTCCTCTCGTTTGCAGGTGTCTCTAGTCAACGGGACCGCAAAGGCTCCATTTTTAGGGTGAGCGGTGAAACACATAAGCGGTGAGATTAAATGTGGGTCCACTCTGACGTGCAATGATTTTTTTTTTCCCCCCCTGCAGAGGCGGTAATCCGTTCGCCACAGTCAAGCTGAGGCCGACTATTACAAAYGACCGATCGGCACCGATCATCTGAGCTGGAGGAGTTTCCCTCATCGCTGGTACGCCTTCAGGAGAATCGTACCAGACCTGAGCARCACGCTGATCAGCTCCCCAGCTTGCATCTCATCAGCCCACACACTCGTTCCATTCAGCACCACTTTGTTTTTTTTTTTGTTTTGTTTTTTTTTGTTTAAAGGAACCCCCTTTTTTTTCTAACGACTGCTGGTTTTAGATTGGCCTCCAAAGATTGAAACATTATACGGTCGTCACGTGGAGAGGCAGAGAAAAGCTTCAAGTCCAACACTTGTTTATGAGGATTGAGTTTGTGTTCTACTCCAAAATGAAAAGTTTGGACATTTTCTTCACGTATTAATGTAACCAAGCTGTCCATTGTGGCTACCTCACAAGAAAAAACCACCACGTGAAACGGGGTGAAGTTCAAGGAAAATAAAGCGCTAAGAGAACATTACTCAGCCTTCCCTGTGAATTCCTCACTTGTACAGAACGATATTCTTCTGAGATCTTGTTCAACCTGTTAAAACCTCCAGTGTGTTTAAACTGTATCTTCTATTAAAATAGGACAAATTTCTATTCAAATATTTAACTTTTTACTTTAAATTACTCCAAGCACTTTGACCCAAAAGTTTTCCAAATGTGTTTAAAAAAGTTGAAAGCATGTTGTTTGTAAAAAATGGAGAAAAAAAATGGAATAAAAAAACCCTTAAAGGCAGTCATGATTTAAACTCCATAGACATGTTTTATAATGGGTTTTGTAAAATACCYTCAGAGGTTCAGTATGATATGTAAATAACAATTAGGGGTTATCTGTTTTAGGATTTTGTAAAAGAGATGCCAGTGGATGTGATGAAACACCAACTCTCAGGCTGCCTTCCTGACTTACCGGAGGTTCTTATTTCTCTGATTATGACTTGTCTATTTAAGCCACACTGGGAAGGACAGAGGTGAGAATGAAGGAAGAGAGTCTTTGGGGGGAATTTGTCTCATGAGTGCAGTTTAAAATCAGATTGTTAATTTGTATGAACCAAGTCCTTGTAAAGGAAAGCACTCATCAAGTTTGATTATTTTGATTTTGCTTCTTTTTTTTAATGAGTTAAATTGACATTTTTACCAAATGGTTTCACACTTTTTGATCTTGGTTAAACGATACATGCTGTATGTTCAGACAGAACAGAGTTTATGCTAAATGAAATAGTTTTGTGCAAAGGACGTCCTTGTTCAGCATAGACTTTTCTGTTTTTTATTTGCTTGCTGAATCCAATTACAGTATATTAAGAAATGCTAATCMGTTGATTGATCTACAATGTGTGAGTAATGGACATCATGCTGACAGTAATTGCAACATTCAGTGTTGACCATTGTGTATTTTTTTCTTCTTTTTTTCAATAAAACAAGAAAATGTCTAAATTAGTGTTCATTTTTTTAACTACTTCACCTTTAGATTGTTTGGAGATTTTTTCTTTTTTTATTCTTATTTATTCTATATTATTGTGATTGTTTCTAAATAATAATAAAAGGGGTAAAACCAGCTTCTAAGTCTTGGATGAAACTTTATTTTGAAATTTATNATCTAAAATAAATTACTTTATTTTTGAGAAATCTGTTCAGGTCACAAGTTCTTTTCACATTCATGACCAGAGGGGTATTTCATAATTTCCTGATTTCCTTCTGCAAGATCTGGCTGGATTATTTTATGAACTTTAGGCTGGTCCTAGTCTTCATGGAGTAATTCCTACACCTCAAACACGCCACATTTTCCTAGGCTTGTAAACAGATTGATGAAGAACGAGGAAGAGGAGTGATGCGCACAGGTGCGGTGGACTTCAGACTCGGAGGTTGTTTGTTTGTTTGTTCATTTTTATTATTTAAATGAGACCAGGGGCAAGGTAATGATCTCGGTCGCGCTGACCCACTCGCTTCCAGAGCGATGGTATACCAGGAAGCACTTTATGAAGAGAGTCAAACCATTATACTCATACAAGGGGATAAAACAGACGTTTTACACTGTGAAATGTGACTGATGAAAACTTAGGAGCTTAATCCCACACCCGTTTCACGATGAATAACGTTGGGTGACGAATCTTTCTTTTTTTTTTTTACACATTGGACTCCACCGGGAAGAAATTCTGTGCATACTGCCTGCTTAAATGTTTGCTATGTCACAACTTATTCGGCAAATGTGTTTCTGTCTCTGCTTTTGTGCATTTACTCTATTACAGGATGGGGGAAGTTGGACTTGGCGGAGGTTTGCACTCTCCGAGTGCTTCTAGTTTTAGTTTGTTTTTATTGTTTAAACTCGAACAATCATGAAACTGAACCCCGGGACTGAAAATCATTTAACCTCAGACAATAAAATAGATCAGCCTAAAAAATGATCAAAGAACCTAAGTCCAGTCTGTAAACTGTAAACTTTTTATATTTCTGTCATGAGTTGGAAACACATGCAGAGCGCATGGCCTGCGGAGCACACACACAGCTCAGGAGAATAAAATTTGTGAATTCTCAAAGAAACATTTTAATTCTGAGAAAAAACTGTCAACTCAGTAGATTAATTCAGAACAGCTCAGCTGTGATGATTCCTCAGCTCCACAAGATGCAGACAATAGATTTGTTGCTGCATAAAGTTGTGCGTATGGATCAATGTCAACTGTTGTGCAGGTTGATATCCCCACAAGAACAATTGAGGACAGTGTTTTTTTTTTTTTTTTTTTT